CGAATATGATGGGAGGTGCAGCATATTTTAATTAAATCCAACTTTAATTTAATTTAACAACTTTAATCCTGACTGCTCATTCTAATACACCTGAGCTGCTAGCACCAAGCTAATGGCTTGTTCGTTCCGGAAGGTATTCGTAGCAGGGTGCTGCCTTTTACCCAAACATAAGATCATAATAATTAAAAGTCTGATATGTCTCAAAATGAACTCCTTGGAAGTAATTTTTATCCCACGAACACACACGGATGCAAGCATATATGTGCCAACATTCTCAAGAATTTACAACACCTTAGAGAAACTCTGTCCATTCCTTTCCGTAAGGAGAAGTTTTTTGTTGACTGTGATGAAAGACTCCTTACTAGGTTCAGGGGAAATGTATATTTCCCCTGATCAATTTCTGAGTTTCCCAGAAGAGCAGAGCCCAAGAGAAACCCTGAAAACTAATGACGGTGGGAGCAGAGCGTATTTGTACTTTATTGCGCCAATCAGAGTCTAAACCACTGAATCAGAGAATGAGACAAAGGAAAATCTAATTGTCTGTATGTGTGTGTGTGGGGGTGGGTGGCAGGAGGAAGGCTGAGCAGGAAGGAGAGGTGGTATCTGAGTACACAAAGAGATGAAATAATTTGGAGAGAGGATCTAAGAAGCAAATATAACATATTGGGTTAACTCACTGCTTTCACAGAGCGAACATCTATCGTGCCCAAGGCATTGGAGACCTGATGGTTACAAGTTAGCTGCCAGCCATCCTCCCATGGTGTCTGCCTTAGAGCATGATTCTGACCAGAGGTTCATGCTTGGGCTTTAGTGGGGGCTGTGAACCCCCTGAAATTGTATGCAAAACTTCGTGTTTATAGATACACGTGGGTGTGGGCAGAAATAGACTGGTACAGTTCCCACCCCCCCACCCCGGGGACAAAATATACAGCAGGAATCACATTCTCTAAGCCTTCAGGTGAGTAAAAACATGATAGTGGAGTTAGCCTTCTCTACTCTTCCCCTAGAAAGAATGAATGAACTGAAGCCACAACCAAAACAAGCCAACAGACACGGATACTTTACTTTTGAAAAGTTAAAAAATATTTTCTACAGAAATCGTAAAAAAATAAAAACAACCCCCCTGCACTACAAAGGAGATAAGAAAAGGCCATTAAAAATAGTGAATTATAGGGCTTCCCTGGTGGTGCAGAAGTTGAGAGTCTGCCTGCCGATGCAGGGGACACAGGTTCGAGCCCCGGTCCGGGAACATCCCACATGCCGCGGAGCGGCTGGGCCCGTGAGCCATGGCCGCTGAGCCTGCGCGTCTGGAGTCTGTGCTCTGCAACGGGAGAAGCCCCAACAGTGAAAGGCCCACGTACCACAAAAAAAAAAAAAAAAGTGAATTATAGGACACAATTTCCTGACAAGCTCTTGGCAACTGGGTCATGTCATTAGAGATAATTTGAATAGATCTCTTGCTAATCCTTTCTTGATTCTGTGCAAAGAATCTTCAAGTGGGGGATGGGAGCACACGTCACAGCCCCATCAGAAACTTTCTCAGCACATCCTCCTAACAGCTATGATCTTCTGAGTGATTATTATATGCCAAACAATATTTCAAAAGCTTTGCCTGCAAGGTGTTATAAACCCCACAGCTATTTTATAAGAAAAGGTATTATTACTGGACCTATTTTACAGATGGGAAAACTGAGGCTCAGTGAGGCTCAGTGACTTGTTTAAAATTCCACACCTAGAAGCTTCCTGTTATCTCTACCCTTTCTCCTTAGGAAACATTGTAAATGGCCACACTAGAAAAGTGAGGTATATGTCAGAAAATGAAAGCAACTCTATAAACCCAAGACAATAAAACACCTTTCTTTCTTATGGGACTACTAATTCATTTTAATGGTATTTAAATTTAAATACTCATGGAGAGCAACATCAGAGCCCAGTTTTTGAGCAGAATTTATCTTTAGTGTTCCAGAACTAGAGAATTTTAATTGTGGGGGTGTGAGGGGAGTGAGGTTGGAGAAGAGTGGCGGAATGATTAAGGAAGTGGGCTTGAGATAAACTACAGAATTTTAAAATCCTGGTCCGCACAGCCTGGTAGAACTGAAGGCTTTTCTTGCCACCTAGATCGTGTTTACACCTTCCATGCCCCTTATCGATGGCCATTGAAAACAAAATATTTTGAAAGAATTTCAGACTTACAATTGCAAGAATAGTACAAATAATTTCTGTATACTCATCCAGTTTCCACAACTGTTAGTATTTTACCACATTTGCTTTATCCTTCTCTCTCTAAATAAACATATCCATACTATTTTCTTTTTTATGCAGACATAACAATGCTCCTTTATGCCCTTCAGGGTATATTTCCCCCAAAACAAGGATATCCTCTTCCATAACCACAATACGATGAACAAAATCATGACATCATCACCTATAAAATACTATGAACTAATTTACAAAACTTATTCAGATTTCACCAATTGTCTCAATCGGGTCAGCAAAAGAAAATCCCAGATCATGTGATGCATTTTTTTTTTTTTTTTTTTTTTTTTTGTGGTACGTGGGCCTCTCACCGTTGTGGCCTCTCCCGTTGCAGAGCACAGGCTCCGGACGTGCAGGCTCAGTGGCCTAGCCGCTCCACGGCATGTGGGATCTTCACGGACCGGGGCACGAACCCGCATCCCCTGCATCAGCAGGCAGACTCTCAACCACTGTGCCACCAGGGAAGCCCCATGGGATGCCTTCTTTAGTCTCCTTTAATTTGGGGCTGCTCCTGCATCCTTCTTGGTCTTTCGTGACACAAGTGTTTTGTGAGAAAGTATAGGTCAATAGTTATTTTGTCTAACGTCTTTGAGTTTGTCAGATGTCAGTTTTTTTGGTTTTTTTTTTTAGAGATAAGCACATATTTATTTGACGGGTTTTAGAGGTGTTAACTCAGAGAGCTGACCATGCCAATTCATTATTCTGGAGAATATCTAACGGATTACACTCTTGGTTTCTCAAGGAAACATGGAAGCCATTCACTCGGTTGTTAAGCTCTTTCACTCACCTGTGATTTTTTTTTTAACAACTTTATTGGAGTATAATTGCTTTACAATGTTGTGTTGGTTTCTGCTTTATAACAAAGTGAATCAGCTATACGTATACATATATCCTCATATCTCCTCTCTCTTGCGTCTCCCTCCCACCCTCCCTATCCCACACCTCTAGGTGGTCACAAAGCGCTGAGCTGACCTCCCTGTGCTATGCAGCTGTTTCCCACTAGCTATCTATTTTACGTTTGGTAGTGTATATATGTCAATGCTACTCTCTCACTTCGTCCCAGCTTACCCTTCACCCTCCCCGTGTCCTCAAGTCCATTCTCTACATCTGCGTCTCTATTCCTGCCCTGCCCCTAGGTTCATCAGAACCATTTTTTTTTTATGTTCCATATATATGTGTTGGCATATGGTATTTGTTTTTCTCTTTCAGATGTCAGTTATTTTGTCCAATGTCTTTGAGTTTGTCAGATGTCCTGATCAGACTCAGGTTTTGCATTTTTGGCAGGAATATCACAGAAGTCATGTTGTGCTCTCCTCAGTGGATCATATCAGGGGGTGGTTTGTCCTACACTGGTGACGTTGACCTTGATCTCTTGTAAGGGTAGTGTCAGCCAGGTTTCTCCACTATGAAGTCACTATTACCTATTACCTTTACATTACTGAATTAAATTCCTTCATGGTAAAATATACATAACATAAATTACCATTTTAAGTGTTCAATTCTGTAGCATTAAGTGCATTCACAGTGCTGTGCTACCGTCACCACCGTCCATGGAACTTTTTCGTCTGCCCCAATTGAAACTCTGTTCCCTTTAAACACTGATTCCCCATCCCCACTCACATGGCGCCTGGCACCCACCATTCTACTCTCTGTTTCTATGAATTTGACTCTTCTAGGTACCTCATATAAGTGAAATCATACAGTATTTATCCTTTTCTGTCTGACTTGTTTCACTTAGTATAATGTCTTTAAGGTTCACACATGTTGTAGCATGTGTCAGAATTTCCTTCCTTGTTTTTTAAAAATATTTATTTGGCTGTGCTGGATCTTCGCTGCGGCATGTGGGATCTTTAGTTGTGGCATGCGGGATCTAGTTCCCTGACCAGGGATCAAACCCTGGTGCCCGGCATTGGGAGTGCCGACGGAGTCAACCCCTGGACCAACAGGGAAGTCCCAGAATTTCCTTCCTTTTTAAGGGTGAATAAATATTCCCTTGTATGTATATGTTGCATGTTGTTTATGAATTCATCCCACGATGGACATTTGGGTTGCTTCCACATTTTGGCTCTTGTAGATAATGCTGCTATGAACGTGGGTATACAAATATCTGTTCCAGACCCTGCTTTTCCTTCTTTTAAGTATGCAACTGGAACTGAAATTGCTGGATCATTATTTTTCCCTTCTTAATTAGCAAATTTCTTGTGGAATGATACGCTGAGACTATGTAACTATGCTATTACTCCTCACACTTTCACCTGCTAGCATCCTTCAATTCCTATCTGAATCAGTTATTAATCTAATGGTTGCCAAATGGTAATTTTCTTTCCACCGTTTCTTCTACATTTATTAGTTGGCATTCTACTGTAGGGAAAAAATTTCCCTTCTCCCCTATTGATTTACGAATTTGGAAGCATTTTTTTCAACCCTTTACACCACGGACACCTTAACGCTCTGAGCAATTTTTTCCATGGGACTCCGAAGTGTGCAAGTTTGGGGAAGTGAGGGAACTTTCTGTATTTCCTTGTCACCATTAGGAAAGCCGAGCGTGCAGCTCGACTGCCCCAGATCCAGGTGATCACTTTCCTGCCCACGCATGTTTAAAGTGGAAACCCTCTCTGGGACAGGGCTCTGAGGAATCACCTGGGCCGCCCCGCCCCGCGAGAACTACATTTCCCAGAGCCCTTCGAGGGTTTGCGTCATCAGCGAGCGCGGCTTTTTGCTCGCTGGTTTTGGAGGGCCCGCTGTGGCGGCGGCAACATGGCGGATGTGTTAAGTGTCGGCGTGAACCTGGAAGCCTTTGCCCAGGCCATCAGTGCCATCCAGGCGCTGCGCTCCAGCGTGAGCAGGGTGTTCGACTGCCTGAAGGATGGCATGCGCAACAAGGAGACGCTGGAGGGCCGGGAGAAGGCCTTCATTGCGCACTTCCAGGACAACTTGCATTCGGTCAACCGGGACCTCAAGTAGGTACCGGCTGAAGGGGCCGGGGGCCTCCCACCCTGTCCCGACCCCGCACGAGTCTTCTCAGTCAGGGGCTGTTGTCCATTTTCCTTGCTCTCTTGCTCCCCCTCCCTCCTCTCCAAGCCTCTACCTGCCCCTCAGGGCCACCTCATCCTCCACCCCCGCTTTCTCGTCTCCCTTCTCTTGGCCTCCAGGTCCTGGCTGTCTCCCTCCGCCCTGGACCTCCTCAGTGGTCCTTCCGTTTCTCACTGGGGGACGTGCTCTCCCCAGGAACTTCCACTCCCCATCTCAGCTCCGCGGGGTTCTCACCTGTGGGCCCGCTGGGCCCCACCACGTCTGATAAAATAGTACCAAACAGGACCTGATCAGCGGTGCCCCAAAGCCAAGTGCACTCCATCTGATTGGCCCCAGCTTTTCGTCCGTGAACCTGGAACTCATCAGCTCCAGTCTAACCCACCCCCAAGCACGACGAAGTAGGCTTTGTTCTTTCTTCCCCTACCCCTTCCGAAACCACCTGATCAGTACTTTCGCTTCCACTCTCCCCGTTGCTCTTAAGTTTCTGTCTCTAGAGAGACCTAATCTCGGCCTTAACCAGCTTAATCACTTCTGCTTACACCTCCCCCCGCCCCCTACAAATATTAATTTGTGGCCTTTTAGGATTAAGGATTGTATATTTCTTTCTTACAAGTCACCTTCTTCTACTTTGTAAGTGAAATTAAGTGAGAGGATGTTTGTAAAATGCCTGGCACATAGTAGGCACTTTGTAAGTGGTTAGGTCCTGGACTTGCCTTCCCCTGCTTATGAGAGTCAGTCCTTTCCAGGAGGGTTAGAATTGCAGGATTTTTTGCCTTTTACCTCTCAGAACTGACCTTAGCAGGGGAAGGCATTGGGTGAGCTAGTCATCCTATAATTTCTGGAGTGGCTGGGTTTTTTTGTTTTGTTTTTTTCCCGTGTCAACTTGGTCTCCTTAGTAACCAGATGGAAGGAGGAGGTAGGATGGAAGAGGAGGTGGTGACCAAATGATGGGAGCCTCTTTTTATTTATTTATTTATTTTCCTCTAAGTAGTTGCCATTCTTGTTTTGGGGGAAAGCCAGGAAGTCACACACCCCTCCTCAACTCCCACACCCACTTGCTGTTCTCTGGTGCAGTGCCCGTTAATACTTTCCCTGCTTGAGGGGATGCGCTGGTGGTTCTTTCCTCTTGTCCGTCTCCTCTTCGATTGGCTTCCCTTGGTAATATACAGGATGTTGTAACCCTTCACCATTGTAGAAAGCTTAAGAATGTTGACATCACCCCTTTGCCTTCTTAAATCTTTAGACAGCAGTACCAAGAAGAAGGTGGCTGAAGATTCCAGAATGAACGTGGCATGAGAAGCTGTTCCTACAAAGCCTTTGTTGACACTTGGAGACTGGCCCCTCAGACTGGCGTGCTTCTGGAATGTGCCTTTTTTTTTTTTTTTTTTTTTTTTTTTGCGGTACGCGGGCCTCTCACCGCTGTGGCCCCTCCCGTTGCGGAGCACGGGCTCTGGATGCGCAGGCTCAGCGGCCGTGGCTCACGGGCCCAGCCGCTCCGCGGCATGTGGGGTCCTCCCGGACCGGGGCACGAACCCGTGTCCCCTGCATCGGCAGGCGGACTCTCAACCACTGCGCCACCAAGGAAGCCCTGGAATGTGCTTTTGCTGTTGGCTCCCTTTCCCAAGCTGCTCTAGAGGTTTTTTTTTTGGCTAGACTGAAGCGTGTTTCTTTGACACAGCCCCTCGGTGGTGTCTTCCCATTCCGTTTGTTTATTTTATCTCTTCTTTGTTTGTTTTTTTTTTGTGTGGTACGCGGGCCTCTCACCGTTGTGGCCTCTCCCATTGCGGAGCACAGGCTCCGGACGTGCAGGCTCAGCGGCCATGGCTCACGGGCCCAACCGCTCCGCGGCACGTGGGATCTTCCCGGACCGGGGCACGAACCCGCATCCCCTGCTTCGGCAGGCGGACTCTCAACCACTGCGCCACCACGGAAGCCCTCTTCTTTGTTTTGTTAAGTTTTAACATCTGTGAAGCACCACGTACAAATCTATCTCTGTGTGAATGGTAAATAATCATCATTTATTCAGGTACTTGCTGTTCTGCCAAAGGTACTGATCTGTACGTGGGTCTGAAAACTCTTAGTGAGAAGCAGTGTTATATTGCGTTTGAAAATTCCGGAAAGTCTCCTCTCCCCCCACACCCCCTCAGAGAATGATTCGAGTTGTTCAAGGCTGATTTTAGGAGGCTTACTGATTTCATCGCTCTTAACCCTTGTTCTCCTTTAGCATGGCGCCAGAGAGCTCAGTTGCAAAACAAGATCATCCCCCAGTTAGGGGTTGTCTCAAGTGGCCCTAGTCTTCTTAACCTTTCAGAAAGTATTTCTTCTTAAGGGACCTTTGATGGGCGGTTTGAAGAACAGCCGTTGACCAATGTGGTTGGCTTAGCACTGGAGTTTCAGTGGACTCGGGTTTATTTGCTGTATCTGTTTACTTTTCAGTGAGCTGGAACGGCTGAGCAACTTGGTGGGCAAGCCTTCTGAGAACCATCCTCTCCATAACAGCGGGCTGTTGAGTCTGGATCCCGTGCAGGACAAAACCCCTCTCTACAGTCAGCTCCTTCAGGCATATAAGTGGTCAAACAAGGTAAGGGGGACATGTCAGACATGGAGCTAATATAGGAAAAAACAAGTGAGAGTTTTTCTTTCCTTTTTTGTTCTTGATTCAGCATCGGGTTACAGAGTTGGAAGTTTCAGACTTCCCTTTGAAGTCTTTGAGGATTGTTCAGAGTCAGGTGCGTTTAACCTGGTTGCTGGGTGTAGGAAGCAGCTTTTATGAACGCCATGAAATCACATGCAGAATTTTGTGTGTGTGTGTGTGTGTGTGTGTGTGTTTTTCTGGGGAGGATTTCCTAGCTTTCATCAGATTCTCAGAGGGGTCCCTGACCCCCAGAAGGTGAAGGACTGCTGGTCTCAGTGTGTAGCCACTCACATGGTTTATGTTGCTTGGCCTGTCCTCCCCATTGTTGATGGAAGAACATCACTAGAGTTTGGTAGATTACTGTCTCTCTCTCCCCGCCCCCCGCACCGTGCCACGCGGCCTGCAAGATCTTAGTTCCCCAACTAGGGATCGAACCCAAGCGCGGAGTCTTAACCGCCGGACCACCAGAGAAGTCCCCATCTCTCTTTTTTCTTCTTCATCTTTTTTTTTTTAATTGAAGTATAGTTGATTTACAATATCGTGTTAGTTTCAGGTGTACAGCACAGCGATTAGTGATACGTGTGTGTGTGTGTGTGTGTGTGTATTCGGATTCTCTCCCTTATATGTTATTACAAACTATTGAGTATAGTTCCCTGTGCTGTAAAATAGATAACAGCAGTAGGTCCTTGCTGGTTATTTATTTTATACATAGTAGTGTGTATACTATGTATAAAATAAATAACCTCCTAATGCTCTCTTTTCTCTAATTATTCTACACCCGTCTGAGGGAGATTGTTCTAAACGCTCTCCCTAGAATTTGCTATTCATGGTTTCCTGCAGTAGGCAGGCCCGTGGCGTAGACCTTAGGACGGCTGTAAAGGAAAAGTAAGCTGCAGTGTAAAAATAACAGGAGCAATTAGGCTCAGAAGCCTGGAAACAGTTAGTCTGTTTACTAACAAGTTCCTCTTGTTTGGGCGCTGTGGGTTATTGTGTTGTGTTTGGTTTTGTTGCTGCTGAGAGAAAGCTAGAATATATGGAACATTTGGGGAAGCTTTTCTCGTTAGACTGCTACCTCCCTGGAGATAATAGTTCTTACAGTTACTGATTGTGAACTGCTCTGCCCCCTCCAGTTATCCGTCATCCTTTTCCTCTTTCCTGTGGTTCTTTTCCCTCTCAGGTCTTAAGTGACAGGTGAGCCTTGACTGTGTTTCCAGTGTGTAGAGTTTTTCCTTTGAATTTGTCTGGAAGAGTATTTAACATTCTTTGGTTTGCAGTGGAACCCTGGTGGCTGAATCTGAGACTCAGGGAGAAATGATTTATTTTGGGGCACTTCAAGAAGGGGCTTGAACCTGGGATGCGTGCATTTAACCTATAAGGCTTGTCCTCCAAGCTCTGGGCTGCTGTTGACAGAGACCCACTTCAGTCTCGAGTTTCAGGGTGCCCAGGCGGTATGGGGATCTGTCACTCTCCCGCCCTATCTACGCCTGCTTCCCAGTGTTGGCCTGATATCTCCCAGTGGTGGAAAAGACGCACTGGCAGCTGTAGGTTTGCGTGGTCCTTCTACCAGGTGATCTCCAGGTGTCCACACCAGACCCTAAAAACGGATTCTGGCCCTGTTTGCTAGGTGGCCCCTACCTACCCAGACAGCTCATTTGAGTTCAGGGGGTGGGATTCTCTGCCTGCCCCGTGCAGATCAGCTAAAGCACAGGAATTGGGGCTGCTTGGAATTAGATAGAGGCAGGAGAGGACGCAGGGCAGACAAGAAATTAGAGATGTCTGTTGCAGTTGCCAGGGCCAGACATGAGACTGTTCTGGCCCTCCACACATAGCCCTGCCCTCTCAGGGTTTTCTGTTTGAGCATCCTTATTTCCCCAGGGGCATGCTTGGACATCTTAATGTGAGTTTACCTGGTGATTGGGTGGGATCTGATCTGTAGGTGACTTATTTCTGGCTGGACTCCTGGTAGAAAGTCTTGCTTTTTGGTGTTTGGACGTGGAAGCTGTGTTCATGTATCATGTGGGTAATGTTCTTGGAATAGGCTTGAGGGACGGACACTTCATTGGTGGGAAGATTTAGGCTGATCTCGAAACCATGAGTGCGTGGGACTCAGTGGAAGCTACTGGTTTTAACTTGAAGTGATGACTCTTAACTTTTGAATGAAGGTAGTTTTAATTGTTTGCTGAATTTATTAGAGTATAAAAATAGAAGACCCTGTCCCTGCCCCCCACCCTTGCCCTCAGGTGGAAAAGAGGATGTGTTAAGGAAAAGAAATATTATGTATGTGGAAATTCTTGTCCTGGAGATGCTACAGCTTAAAACTAGATGTAGAAATGTATCACAGGTTTTAGGTCCCATATGAGCAGTGTGAGTGGTGTAGGGGTTCAGTCATGTCCTGGCCTGGTGCGTGCCTCTAAAGTAACTGCTGCTCTACCAGCTTCCGAGTGCCCCAGCAGAGAGGGGATTTTGGAGTCTTAAAACATTAATTGGCAAAATAAAGAGAATGTTTAAGAGATGTTTAGCTTACCCCCTTATTTTATAGCCAAGCAGACCAAGGCCAAGTGAACCAACCTGCTCATGGTTTCATAGCTAGACTAGAATTTGCCTTTCCTGATGTAGGTCAGTGTTCTTTCCTCTAAAACTTGATGCTTTAATCAGGTTTGGCTTAAGGTTTTGACTATAGCAAACATTTTTCCCCCTTTAACCTTCATCACAGGAGCAATTCATATGTTATATTTTATTCATAAACTGGTATCACATTTTACTCATTTTTAGTGGTTTACTGAAGGATGGAGGTGGCAAATACATGGGACATGGTCCTGAAACTGTCACTCTTGTCCAGGGCAGACATCACTAACCACCCTCTGTATTCTTTCCTGCTAAGGCCACCTCTGGGCTCCCAACTCTGTTCTGGGGCTAGGCAGCCCCTGCCAATTCTTCCAAGGTGGGCTACAGGGGCAACGTTTTTTATTTCTGTTATGGTAGATAATGTCCTATTTGACTATTGCTTATTTATACCTTACCTTACTCTGGAAGGGATTTAAGATCTATTATACAAATACTGTACTTCAGACCTTGAAAGGAAAGAGGAAAACAAGGGTAAGGATGCCTTATGTACATTTCTTTAATAAACTCAAGAAGTAGCCCCAAGAAATAAGCCAGTATTCTTATTTCCAGCTGGGGATATGGAAGCAGCAATGATATGTGTTTATCATGCCTCTCTTACAAATGAAAAGAGCTTTTTAATTGCAAAAGCTTTCATCATTCTTCATTTTACCCTCGACGAGTTTAAACCGGAAAGTGCATTAATATGTTAGGTGAAGTTCAGGGTAACTTGCCAATGTCAGCTTTCTGCTCTGTTGGCTAAGAATTGAAGGAAGTGTGGGAAAGGCTTTGGTACCACCCATTATGTGATGGACTTTCTATTTTATGTGCCATTGGCCATAGAGAAGTCTCATTCATGCTTACTGACTAATTATTTTCTTTAGGGGATTTTGTAATTTTTGTAAAGTCAGTCAGAATATTAATTACATGGTAGTTGGCATAATTGTTAGGATAACACATTTAAAAATTAACCTAAAAAATAAAAATTAATCTAATCTAATGAAATGATGTCAAATTGCTGGGAGCAGCACTTTTCCCGTGCTGAATTGGGGAAAGAATTTAGCTTTCAACTCTTGTGCACCTATAGATTATTGCTCTGTAGAGAGATGACAAGCTCTCGACGACGGCAAAAAATAATTGGCGTCAACGCGGTCCTTGCTGTAAGATAGTGAATGTGAACATAATGAGGAAAGAAAATCACTTAAATGCCCCCCAAAACCTTAATCATCATGACCTGGGGTCAGGCGCTGTTCTGGACTGTTCTTATTACGTTCAGATATGCTGAGAGCTAGGCTGAACTATCATCAAGGCCCCTGTCCGAAGGTTTCCAGTGTCCTGTCTCCAGGCTTTGATTTCCGGCTTTGACTTTCTGCGTTTGTTTATGGCAGGAGGCTGCTTGTGTATTTGCCTGAAAAGGGGGCGAAGACTTCAGCCTTTTCCTCGTGATGTCTCAAGCAGCAAAGACCCCAGAAGTGTCACTTTCTCCCCGGGTTGGGAAATGGGCCCTGAGGAAGGGGCTGGCGCTGCCTTTTCTTTGTTTTTGCGTGCTTAATTTTTCACTTTTATTAGAGAAAGAGCAAATTTCAATTCCAAGGGTATTCAGTTGGAAAGCCTGAAGACATTTGCTCCACTCTACCGTCCCGAGCTGTTCTTATCAGAATCTAGTTACTCGGTGGCTTTAAGTTGCTATAACGTTCATGTCCCTCACATCCAGCCTTGAAGGTGCTCTTGACGTTTTGGCATCGTGGAGCTAACGGGTAGGATTGGTTAAAACTGCAACACGGAGCCTTTTCCCTTAGGGGCCCCGTCCTCTTTTAGGTCCCTGCGGAGAGAGACTGTGTCCCTCTCGTTCCCAGGGGGGAGTCCCCAGCGCCTAGCAGGGCTCCTGGTACTCAGTGCACATCAGTTAAAATTCACTGAATGAATGAAAGAATAAGTAAAAAGGGTTTTCTGTTGAATTTTTAATTTACAGCCCCTTTTGTGGTTTGCTTGCTTGTATTTTTGATGAAGTGCTATCAGGACATTCCATTTTGGGCCATTACTGAGAAATTTAGTTGTGCTACTTGTAGATGAGAGAAAATTCTCAGGGCCTGTGCTGGAGGCCAGGGCCAGCTTCCAGAAGGGTGATTTGGAAGGAAAGGTGCGGTCAGTTGGTGAACTGATGATAAGCTCTTTGAGAGCTGAGGTTGGAAGTTGCGTCTATGTTGCCTGTCATCTGGTGTTCCCTTCCTGAGAGGGCCGGGTTGGCAGCCAGTGCTCAGGAGGGGCAGGGCTTGGTAGAAGTCGTCCGGAGCTGACCGAGTCACAGCCTAATTTGAGCGACAGCACCTGAGGTCAGGTGTGCTGCGGCAGCTGTCGTTTTGGCGGAAATGCGAAAACTGGGAAGAGGCGAGACAACCCCATCAGCCTCTTAGGGATTATCCCACTTGGTGTGTTATCAATAACTAATTTCTGTTCCTAGTGTTTTCCTTATCACCAGACCCACCCCCGACTCACTCAGGGAATATGGATTCATTCAGAACATAATGAGGAAAGAAAATCACTTAAATGCCCCCCAAAGCCTTAATCATCGTGGCTTTGGACCACGCACTGTTTTATTATTAGCAGAGGTGCAGGTACCATTCTTAGAGGTGTTCTTACACCTAAATCTAACCTTCCTGGCTCCCTGTCACTCAGCATGAACTTACCAGCAGAGTGAGTTTGACTGCAGTAGTGACTGCCCTGGTTGGCCTTGAACCCTGCACCCTTTTCCTCCCTCCCCACCCAAAGCCCTGATACTGTGTGAGCCATTATGAAAAGAACAAAGAGTAGCACAACCAGACAGGAAAAAGAACCAAACAAAACCAATCTCCGGGGTTTCTAGATACTGTTGGATTCAGAAGTAAAGGAAGGTACAGTCAGAAATGTCAAGCCTTAACTGTAAGTTCTGGAGTTAGGCTGCCTGAGATATGATCCAGCTCTGCACTTATGCTGTGCCTTGAACACGTGAAAAACTTGTTTAAAGCATTCGTTTCCTCGTCTGTAAAATGGGGGTAATACAAGTATGTGTATCATAGTGTTATAGGGAATATTAAATGAAATAATGCGTATGAAGTGCCTTAGAACAACTCACATGTCATAAGTGTGTATTAAATGGTAGTTATAATTCCCGGCACACTAAGCGTATGTGTGTGTTTGTCTATGGAGTGGCAGTATTGCTCAGTGGTTAAGAGCATAGGCTTCAGTGCTAGACCACTTTGGTTCACATCCCAGCTCTGCTACCTGACAACGATGAAGCTTCCCTGTCTGTGCCTCAGTTTTCTATTCTTTAAAATGGGGACGATAGTTGTACCCACCACAGAAAGATACGTTGAGACTAAATGAGGTAATATAAGTATAGCACTTACCTGGCACAGAGTAAATACTCTCTAGGGGCTGGTATTGTTATCTTAACAAAGTGACGAGGACAGACTCCCAGGCAGTGCGGGCCTGTCTTCCAGTGACTTCTGCTGTATCACACAGCCTCCCAAGCTTGACTTTAGTATATTCTTCTGAAGTTCTACAAATCAGATTCTTTTAGGTAATCAGCACCCTTTCCCCCTGAGGAAGCCTGGGCATAGATATCAACAATTCACACATTAGTATGAATTAGTGGGAGGGGGCTCTTTCCTCATAAAACCTGGAGGTTTGGGAGTTTGGTGAGGAAGATAGCTAACCTTTTGGTAACCTTTTGATATGGAGCCAGGGGTTTGGATGGGATGTGGGACTTGAGGGATGTTGAAGACAGGGTGAGGGGCCTGGGAAGAAATGAGGAATGAGGGGATGGCAGAGAAGTTGGTGAGAGGGGCTGTGTCTTGCCCAGGGCAGACCATCTGTGCAAGCTGAGGAGGAATCCTCTCACACTGTGCAAGCTCAGCGTTCCCACTGGCCTGTAGTCCTCTTACCTGGTGGGGAAAACACCATAGGCTAGTCTGGGGTTTCTAGTGTTGTTTCTTTAGGAAAATGTTCGCACACACAGGCCCGTGTAAAAATAAACACTTGGATTGTATCCATTTTTGTAAATTGGATGCTCATTACAGGCAGGGCTCTGGAGTCGGACTCTGTTGGGTTTGACTCCCTGGCTTTGTGAGTTGGGGTGAGTTCCATACCCTCCCTCTGTCTCAGCCTCTTCATAAGTCAAAAGTAGATAATAACACTTCTGCCTTATAGGGCTGTTGTGAGGGCTGATAGTGGAATACCCCCGAGGTACCCAGAGCAGTGCCCAGTGTGTAGTGAGCACGCAGTGGTGTTAGTGCTTCTTCTTACTCCTTTTAATACTATTGGTCAAGCTTTATCGAGGCAGCGGTAGTCATGAGCGCACGGGACAGAGGTCTCGAGAGGCTGGGATTTGGTTTTGGCTGTCTGCTATCCGGCTGTGTGCCCTTGTGCCCGTGGCTTTGTTCCTCTGGGTTCTAGCTTCCTTGTCGGTAGAATGAAGAGCTGGACTGAAGATCTCTCGAGTCCCTTTTGGCTGTCACTTGGGAAGGAGCAGTGGAATCACTTATGCATTTGCATTGTTTTGGAAATGAAAGTGTAACCTGGGGAGCAGAGGAGAGTAATTCTTGTCCAGTAACGTTTCTTAAGCACAACTGTTGTGTACGCTACAGAGCATCTCAGCACAGACCAGGATAGAGCAGCAGCCCTAGAGGCCCTTAGGGGAAGATTACCTTTCAGAGGTTCTCTAGACAGCAGTAGCCTCCCGTAACACACCGAGTGTAAGCCGTCATGAAAATCACCTGATGCCCCCATAGTTCTAAGTGGGTTCCACCCCAGGGCTTTGGCCTAATTCCATATCTTTATGTTCTACTTATTAGTTGTGGTTTCTGAAAACTGTCACTTTGTTGTGGCCTGGGATCAGATATGTGATTCCCTCCTTCTTTTTCTCTAAAGGAGCAGGAACTCTGTTGAGAAGCTACCCTGGGCAGGCTGCAGAGGCTGCTGGCTGTGTGTCACACGTGCCCTGCAGGAGTCACTCTGTCCGGGGCTGGGGGTGAGGGTAGCTCAGCCTGAGTCCCTCTTTGGCTGTTTTATAGTAGCCTTTTCTGGGCTGATTGGGTTTGTGCGGTTTGCCCAAAGCTTTGTGTACATTGTAACCAGAGCCTGAAAAGGGCACTTTCTCTCCTCTTCCAGGAACGTTTAGTAGACAGGAAATTGTCCCATATCATTTTTGTTCCTGGTGAGTTGCACATTGACGGTGGGGAAGGACGTGTACCATTACAAGTGCAGAAAGAATATGATGTTACGCCTCCCCTTTAGCGCTTCTCTCCTGTGGTCCGCGCCTGCTCTGGGCCAGCCCATATGTTTTGCCGCTTCACTTGCCAGCCGTACACGGATGACACCGCACTCCAGCCAGCCTAGAAGCTCGCCTGAGATCCTGACCCGTGTCAGAGTGCCCGCTGGACATCTGCACTTGGGACTCACAGGCTTCTCGGGTAGAAGGAGCCCAGAACGGAAACCCTGCCCCCGCCCCCAGACCTGCTCCTCGTGGTGGGGTGCCTGGACCCTCACACCTGCTGACCAAGATCTACTGATGCCACCTCTCCAAAACCGCTTAGTCTTTCCTCCTGACCTTGACTGCCGCTGTCTGAGCCCAGGCCCCCCTTATTGCTTGGGGCAATGCTACTGCCTCCCCTCTGGCTTCCTGCCCCTTCCCACCCACTGCAGCCATTTTCCGCTCGGCAGTTCCCAGGGACCTGGACAAAGGAGACACCTGATAGGTTGCTCCTCAGTGGTTTCTTCCATCTCCCTTAGGATCAATTCCAGCTCCCGGCTGGCATTGGGAGGCGTTTTAGTTATCGCACCCAGGGGCCTGAGTCCAGAAGCAGACAGACCTTTGGCCAGACTTCTTAGCCTCAGTTTCCTCATCTGCAAAATGGCACGAACAGTCCTGCGTCTTAGGGAGGCTGTGAGGATTACGTGGACACGGCCTTGAGCATGCAGTGCAGAGCCTGGCAGGTGACCTGTTTACCATTAGCAGTCCAGGTGCAGGGCCTCATGGCCTGGCACCGGCTCCCTTCTCTAGCCCCCACCCTTCCTTCCTTTCTTCCTTTCTTTCTGGGGGAAAAAACCCCTAAACTTTTTATTGTGGAAAGTTTCAAATTCCACAAAAGTAAGAGAATTATCTAATGAGCCATTGTCTACTCAGCTTCAACAATTAAGAATATTTTGCCACTCTTATTTCATTGATTTCCACATCCCCCTACTCTCTTTTCTGGGGGTCAGGGGTGAGGACTGGAGTATTTGAAAGCAATGCCCGACATCATGTCATTTCATCGGGAATCCTTCAGCGTTCAGCTTCCTTTCTTCCCACTTTCCCTGCTCTTATTTTTGCCACTTCTTGTCTGCAAAATGCATTGCGGTTCCCCAGAATCTTCTGATCTCAGGGTCTTTGCACACGCTCTTCTTCCTTCTCCCTCCTTTCTTTGGAAAAGTCTTAGTCATTTGGGTCTTAGACTTCCTCTGGGAAGTCTTCTGAGATGTACCCAGATTAGGTGCCCCTGCGTTTACACCTGTGACAGCTTTTATCCTCCTCTGCTTGTTCATTATCCCCACAAGGGTAAGCCCTGTCCTGTGTTAGGACTTAGACTTTGGGTGTTATCTAACACCTTTGAGCCTCAGCCTGCTGGACTAGAAAATGGACATAATACCAATCTCATCGGATTGGTCTGAATGTCTAATTAGAAACTGTATATAAGGTTTCTGGTTCAGGGTAGGATGTATAGTGGCCTTTAGGAAATAGTTGTTACTGCAGGTAGCTATTTCTAAGTAAATTGAAGCCTCTAAATCTCTTCCTCTTCCCTTTTCAGACGACCAGTTTGAGCTTTCTCCCTTCTGAGTCCGCTGCTATTTACTTGCCCTTGACTTTTTGCAGCTTTGTGCTGTTATTGGGTGTGGGGGCACTGAAAGGGAGGAGGTGTGGAAGGGAGCGCCTAGAGGCTTTATCCCTTCTCTGGCGGCCACGCCCTAATCTTAAGGACCTCTGGGCTGGGCTCAGGAGTTCCGCCCCTGGGTCCTGTGCCTGTGCCGTCAGCATTCCCCTTCTTTTGCAGCAGTCACCTGTTTGTTTGGGAGGCTCCAGCAGCCTCTCCGGAGCTGGTTGCCGCGCTCCCTGGGCCGGCGCCCTGCTCGGCCTGCTGCTTTTCCTCGCTGACTTGACCAAGTGACTGAAACTCCCAAGACCCTCGCTCTCCCCGGGGACAGTATAATCATCTAGTAGGTTCTGGCAAGTCAGTAGCTTGTTGCACCGTCAAACTTGCCTCAACCCTGTGGATTGGAGGCGCTTTCTGAAATCTCTAGTTTTGTTTGTGGCTGCTCCGCTAGACGCAGCCCGGTTCCTCTGGGAGGAGCCCAGAGATTAAAGCGCTGCTGCAGAGAAGCCTCCAGAATGACCAGGCAGAGCTGATCTGGTCTGTGTTTGCCCCACAGGCTTTCAGCAGCTGCCCTGATCGCACTGCCGCAGCTGCTCGTCCTCCAGGTCCGTCCCCTCTCCTCGAGCGTTGGGGCTCTGGTGTCACTTTGAAGGCCTCCCGTCGGGGACACAGTAGACACTCGTAATTGAGCCCCCCCCAGCCTCCCCATATTTCCAAACAGACTCCAGGCACTGTGCCTCCTCTGGCCAAGTGTTAGATCTCAAGGGGACCTCCACGATCAGGTGGGGCAGCGCCCCTTCTTTTATAGAGAGAGTGACTTGTCCAAGGGCCACACGGCCAGCCCTTTAACTGGGACCCGCAGTGTTCGGTAGCCTGAAAAGGGAATGCCATCCGGATGTCCAGGCAAGCAGAGAGGTTTCTTCCGCTGTTGAAGCCCATTAAAATATTGCCATTTACCTGTGGTTTTGTGTCTGCTGATCCCCCTGTCAGTGAAGCAGGAGCAGTGGTCAGTCCACATGCTGTATCAGAGGGAACCACGGCGGTGGGTGTGACCCATTGACAGCTGCAGACCAAGACTGCGCGGGGCCCAGCCCAGGCATGGATGTGGCTCAGGGCAATTGCCTCCACCTCCGTGAGCAGAGCAGCCCCAGCCCCGCAGATTCGGAGAGGCAGGTGACCTCATCTGCTTCAAGCTCCGACGTGGCAAGTGTGAATGAGGAGTGGGGTCTTAGCAGCTAACTGGCGTGCCATGAAAAGAAAGGCACTGCCTTGGAGCCTCTTATCCCCGTCCTGGCGTGGGTGGGGGCCCCAGGGATGACTGTGTAAAGATAAGCCCCCTGCCCACTTCTTTCCCCTTTTTAACAGGAGTTGTACTTAGTCCTCCAGTGGGTTCATGGAATGCCAGTTGCTCTTATTTTTTCCCCGTTTGGATGTTTCTGTGTGTTTTAGGGTTGGAGGGTTACATCGTACCATCATGATTTTCAGTCAGTAGGCTTCTCGAATTATCGATCACTTATTAGTAGTTGCCGCCACTGAGCATTTGGGCTCGGCGCTCTTCCGATGACCGTGCGCAGTGGATTTGGAAGCGAGAGAGTCTGCAGGTCTTGAGCGTGTGCGTGCATTCGTGCGTGAGAGAGTGGGTGCACTTGGTGTAAAACGCTCAATCATGTTAGTTTCCAAACTGCTTTTGAGTAGTGTGCTGTTTGCTAGGAAGTATCTAATCCGCCTATTGAACACGTGTTTATCGGGCATCTACTATGTTTCAGGCACTGTTCTAGACTCAGTGAAGGAACCTGATCAGCTCCCATCTTCCTGGAACTCAGCATATATCCAGCTCTCGAACTGGATCAGCATGCCCAAAGCACATGACTTTAACAGTAATTCCTGACTCCACTATTGGTCTTTTTCCCCCCTTAATCAGTGGCCTTTCTATGCCTCAGTTTACCTGTCTTTACTGTCAGAAAGGAGCATAACTGATAGGGTGCTGGGTGACTTAATTGACACCTGTAACTTATCTAGAACAGGGCCTGAACATAAAGGAAATTTTGTCTTGCACTCCGGACATCTTAAATATCATCCTGTTTTTATAGTTTGGTGCATTTTAATTCTGTCTTGTGCTTAACGCAGATGCAAATTTATTGCTGTAATGTACACTTTTCTGGTTTGTTTGCCCTTGGCATGTCACCAGTTTGCCCATATTCTGCTGTAGCCTAAGGTTGCGCTTGTTTTTCTTTTCTTTTTTAATAAATTTATTTATTTTTAATTTTTATTTATTTTTGGCTGTGTTGGGTCTTCGTTGCTGCTCACAGACTTTCTCTAGTTGCGGCGAGCGGGGGCTACTCTTCATCACGGTGCACAGGCTTCTCGTTGCGGTGTCTTCTCTTGTGGAGCACGGGCTCTAGGCGCACGGGCTTCAGTAGTTGTGGCTCGCGGGCTCTAGAGTGCAAGCTCAGTAGTTGTGGCGCACGGGCTTAGTTGCACCGCCTCATGTGGGGCCTTCCCGGACCTGGGCTCAAACCCGTGTCCCCTGCATTGGCAGGCAGATTCTTAACCGCTGCACCACCAGGGAAGTCCCAGGTTGTGCTTCTTTTAAGGGGTTTTCATTGATTTTAAGAGAACACTAAATATCTATCTTATATTTGTGTCCAAAGGCAAAAAAACCCAATCAATCAGTCAGGGTACTGACTTTCTTGCCACCGTTGACATGAGACCTGACCCAGTTGGACTGTTTCTGTCCTAAAAGAACTCTCCACGTGCTTCTTTTGATATGGATTAGTGACTGCAAAGGGTGCTGCACATTTGTTATTCTCTCTTATTTGTCAATGGGTCTGTTTATTTTCATTTTTATTTTTTTTGGCCTCACCACGGGGCTTGCGGGATTTTAATTCCCCGACCAGGGATTGAACCCGGGGCCTGGCAGTGAAAGCGCCGCGTCCTAACCACTGGACCACCAGGGAATTCCCAGCGAATGGGTCTGTTTAAATTTCATTTAAATACCTGGAGCCCTGAAGGCTGATTTTGCCCGTGGGTGAGATTGGCCCTGTGCACTGACTTCAGTGTCTCACCAGGGGCGAGCTGGGGCCCGCTGCCTGCGCTGTGTCCTCTCCTGGCTGTCCATCCAATCATTTGTCTAGCTCACTATTTAAAATCACACTTGATAATTCAGTATGTTTCCCAGAGAATGAGTTGATTCAAAATCCTACATCATCCGTGGTGTTTGTGATGAGAATTTGAACCACCCGAGTTTCAAGATAAAATAAATTCTCGACCTCTGTTTCTTAGTGAGCAGAAAATGATGAGGCAACCGTTGGAGAGCTTTGTTTAGTGATCACGTGGAATTGTATTTTCTTTCCTGTGAAAATCACTGCGATGGTTTCCGTATGTTATACAGTTCCTCTCCAGATTTTGTCCTCTTCACCTGAAAAATGCTTGTGAAGACACTTATTTTTCTGGGTAGGTGATGCTCTTAGCGCGGGGCCAGCACAGAGGAAGCCCTTGGTGGGTACGCGTTTCCTTTCAGCGCTGCAAGTTCCCGTCCGCCATGCCCTCTCCCCCGTAGCACTTAATTTGAGCCAGTGGAGATGTTGCTGGTTAACTAGATTACCGTCAGCTTGGTTTGGATAGCAAAGGTGCTATCTAAATGCTTTTAAAATGTTCCGAGAAGCCTCAGAGGATTATAGAGGCCAACGCTCTCCTATCCTTGTTTTTCCCAGTCTAAAACAGAGCAGTCCGTGTTCATTTTAATTGCTTGGATGAGCTCAAACATTGAGATTTTAATGCATTTTCACAGTAGCTCAGAGAGCGTCACCACATTATCCTGCTGGCAGCTCATTGGAATCCTCGGCCCAAATGCCGTGCTCGGGGGCCTCAGCTTATAGGACCGGAGTGTGGTAATTTCCTAGTAAGATGTCTTGTGGGGAACGCTGCCTTTCCTGTTGAGATGTCCTCCGAATTGTGAAGTGTTGTCCTTCTCAGTCACAAAGTGATGGGCACGTATGGCTCTTGAGGAAGGTTTTCAGAGCTTTTGGCTCGCAGAGGGTGGAGTTGCTTTATTCTGATGAGTCACAAGATGGGAAAGGGCTCTCGTAAGCCTCCAGTTTGTGGTTGATCCTAAAGGCACACTGACGATATCTGCACCCCGGTGGGGTCTGGAGGGCAGTTCCCAACGACTGTACCTCCACCTTCTACTCCCGCTCGTCAGATAAGGCCAGCCTCATAGGGAGGTGGGGCCTTGGGAGCTGATGGCCAGGGGAGTGCTGGAAACGCCGGCTCTGGGGTGGGTTAAGGACAACCAGCAAGATGAATCAGGCAGCATCCCTGCCTCCTGGATTTCACTCCCTCTGCATGTCAGCTGCGCTGGACCCTTACACCTCCAGCACTGGGGTCGAACCATGGTTTCTAGTGCTTGGCGTGCGCTTAGTAAGTGTTTGTTGCTAAATGGATGAGCGAATACTCCCACCCTCCTTCAGGGCGTCTTCTCTCATAGCCAGGACATTTGCAGAAGTCTCCTAACTGGCCTCCCTGTCTCACCACCTCCTATCTCTCCCCACATAGCATCAGTGACCTTTAAATGTGCAAGTTTGATCTCACAAGTCTCCTGCTTAAAATATGGTGATGATTTCTTCTTGCGCTCAGGATGAAGACAGACTCTGTAATGTAGCTGGTAATGGTCTGGCTCACATGGTACCCCAGCTCAGCACTCAGCCTGCATGCCCTCCTGCCCTCATGCTGTTGAAGTGGCCTATTTCAACGGGCCCCACCCCTCTTTTTGTTTGGCTAATGTTCTCTCACTTTATTTTTCCATATTTGTTTATGGTCACATACTTGGGAGAGTCTTTTCCAACTCCCCAAGTCAGGGTGAGGTAACCCCCCGTACTCCTGCAGCCCCCCCCCCTTGCCCACATCGCGGCGTGATTCGCGATAGACTAAGTACCGATAGCTGGGGCAGGGGACAGGGACGCTGCCCGCCTGTTCACCAGGGTATTTCCAATGTCTAGTGAGGCCCAACAGAAGAAGACAAACCAACAAAACACTTTGAGTTAACTAAGTAGCTTCCTTGTCTTTGAAGTCAATATTAAAATTCCAGTGACGTGTTTTTGAGGGGGGAGGTGCGGCTGTAGGGTTCCAGGTCCTACTTTTCTTGATGTTTGGGTAGGAGGTGACTCTTAGCTGCGGTATTTCCTCAGTGCACAGCTGCTGAGATGTCTTTATTTGGTTTGTGCATTCCACTCACGGCCTGACTTACTGAAGGATAATGAATATTAAGGGTTTTTTTTGTCTTTTTTTTGAACTAGTTTGGGGATACAAACAGAAGGCAGATTATCTTATTTTGAGGCAGATATGAAAAGGGCAAAGAAAGGAGACAGTGAACGTTACAGAAGTGTCTTATATTGTATTTCAGCACTTTATTTTTTTGGCTGTGCTGCGCGGCTTGCAGGATCTTAGTTCTCCAACTAGGGATCGAACCCAGGCCCTCGGCAGTGGAAGTGTGGAGTCCTAACCACTGGGCCACCAGGGAAGTCCCTGTTTCAGCACTTTACAGTCTCTAAAGTGTGGAAGCGTTCATCATATCATCCAGCCGGAGAGGCTGTGTAGCGTGGCAATAAAAGCAGGAGCTCTGGAACCAGATTGCCTGCCTGGTTCAAGTTCTGCTTCTTCTCTTTACTACTTGTGACCCTGGGCAACTTACTCCTGTTCTCTGATCTGTAAAATGAGGTTGATGACAGTTACCTCCCTCAGGGCTGTTGTGAAGATCAAAAGCTTAGTATATGCAGGGGCTCAGAAGAGGGCTGGTATGTGTTAGTTACCATCGTTCTTGTCACCATCGCCATCATCATAGTAACTGCGGCTTAGCCTTATTTTACTGAAGGGGGAGCTCAGATTCCTAAAAGTTAGGAGACCTGCCCCAGGCCAGCGGGTTGTCCATGCCCGGGAAGAGGCACGGATCATCTGACTTCAGATCCTTTTATTCTCTAGTGTGCCTTTGCTGTCTCAGTGGAACAGATGCAGGGCAACTGCTTTCCGTTTGGAGGACATGGTGGTGTCTTTATAACGGGGGCGTTGTTAGAAAATGGCTCTTCTTTTACGTAAAATCTTTGGATAGAAACTTCCAAAAGTTTACTGTCTATGAGATCTGTGACCCCAAGCATTTTTATAAGTCACAAAGGTCATTGTCTGTAATCTCATTTTAAATATGTATGTGGGCTGGCAAAGGAGAATTTCTTATGTGAATTGTAATTCCCTAATTTAGCTATCTTATGTCATATTTTCAGGGTTTTGTTGTTGTTATCTTTAAATTTGAGTTGCTAAAGCATAACTTAGCTCCCCACGGCTTCAGGACCGTAGAGATGGTCTCTGGCCTTGGTCATCACAGCAGCGCTCATCCACTCCTGCGGCCTCTGCTGGCATGTGGCCGAGATGCCATGGAGACAAGGTAAGCATCTGATAGGAGGGGACATTGAATTATACATATTCTGTGCCTGTCGGTTGTCCACTCCCTCCCGCCCTGACTGCTGCTTGCCTGTTTTTGTCTGATAAAATATATGTCGTCAAAGAGTAGCTCACGAAAGTTAAGGGTCCTTAATTTGGGGTCTGCGGTCAGACTTCTGTTGGGTCCTGAATGTATGTAGGTCCATTTTTCAGGAGAATAATCCTCAGCTTTCATCAAGATCCTTTCAGGGGTCTGTGGCCCCCACAAGTTCAAGAACCACTGCCACAGAGAGAGGAGTATTGGTTTTTTCTTTTTCTTTTAAGTTTGCATACAAAACATTTTATTAATAAACTATTTACACCCTTCTTACAGTACAACAAATTTTGTAGTGATTTAGCATGTTATACTTTATAAAAGCTTATTATAGAATATTCAGGGACTTTCCTGGCGGCTCATTGGTTAAGAATCCGCCTGCCAATGCAGGGGACACGGGTTCGATCCCAGGTCCGGGAAGATCCCACATGCCGCGGAGCAGCTAAGCCCGTGCGCCACAACTACTGAGCCTGCGCTCCGGAGCCCACGTGCCACAACTACTGAAGTCCGTGCGCCTAGAGCCCGTGCTCCGCAGCAAGAGAAGCCACTGCAGTGAGAAGCCTGCGCACCACAACGAAGAGTAGCGCCCACTCGCCGCAGCTAGAGAAAGCCCGCGTGCAGCAATGAAGACCGAATGCAGCCAAAGATAAATAAATTTATAAAAAAACAAAAAAAGTATAGAATATTCAAGCTAAAACAATATAGTTTAAAA